TTCCATTCGGTCGGTTGTGTTATCTTCTACTATCATACACCATGCCATCTCCGAGTGCTGCGCCAACTTGACGAGGAGTTTCTGCAACACCCAAAATGGAGCACAAACCCTGTCGGTAAATCAGGGGGTTCCAAAATCCATTCATCAGGCTAAATCAAACGTTCATTTAATGAATAGTTCTAAGGGTAGAGCATCCAAGGACTTGAGCATGTTCATGTATGTGCAATAAACGTTTGTTCGAATGCTCCTTTTGGGCAGGAGATTGCGATGGATCAGTCAGTCGCCATCAGAGGAGGAGAAAGTGTACCCTAAAAGCTCATAAATCGCGCAGTCTACACCCCTTTATTTAGCACTACCCAATAAAGCGTGTCCTCCTCCAACTTGTCTACTCTTTCCAAGGGCATGAAGACTCAGGTGGCGAGAAATACCGAGTCTAATGTACCTAACAGGACTCCACAAGCTAAAAGCACCCACCGCATCTATGTACACTAAAAGTCCCCCCGGACTTTTTGTCATTGGATATATTGTCCTGTCACCAACATCCAAAAAAAGGCAATTAAAATAAGGAGTTAAGTTATCGTTTTAGTACAGGGAAAGAGGCGCACTCCAGTGTAAAGTTAATTTATGCAACAGAAAGTGTTTTAGAACGGAGAGATGAAGTCAAATTTACTTTTCTAAATATAATGGCATTCAAATTCGTGCTTAAAGGCAAATTAAAATTTAACTTTCATGACAAATTTGATGTCTCCACCTACAAAATGGCCCAAGCAGACAAAACGCGAGCTTGCTATTTTCAACAGTTCAGCTTCTTTTGAAGTCACCTAGCCTCTGTTTTGTGTCCTCTTTAAAGTAGGATTTAGTCTACAAAATTTTATCCTCCTGTACCTAGAAGGCACATTTTGGGTATTTACTCCTACCAAGAAGTGGGATAAGAGATAAGTTGAGTAGATCGGAATAAATTTCTGCCAAATTTGAGATCGCAAATGATTAATAGAGCAAATCTTATAAGTTTGTTTGGGCTCTTTTTTTTAATGCGAAGATCCATGATGGACTAGTAAATACGTGTCATTTTTACTGTTAATTTAACTCGCAGTTTTGATTATGCGGACACTGACAGCTCCGCCTTTGTACTTCAGCAGAGCAACCTGACCTCCCGGCTAGTTCGGTAGCTCTGAGCCTTACTATATGTCCAGATATTGTCTCCTTTCTACAGCTAAAAAAACTCAGCTGCATTAGCAACAGCGGAAGGCAAATTCCACCCTGTAGGACATCCAACCTGCTTTCCATTCCTGAATGCCAAATTTTAATGTAATGGAAGGAGGGTCTGCATTGCAGATGGGGGAATCTGTGACAATCCCTATCAGAAGAGCTAAAAATGACGTTTAACTTTAGCAACTGCCCCAATCCCGTCTTCTGTGGGAATACTACTAACAGCTGAAGTGGCACTGGCAGTTCGCTACGGAACCGCCAATGAAGTGAACATATGAAACTACTCCACCTTTCGAGTAGCCCGATAGAATCCAAGTTGATATAGTCGGGTATCACTAAGGAGAGACTTGTGTGGCAAAAGAGAAGAGATGTAGAGCTTATCATAATGAAACTATTTTAAATTTCAACCTTCATTAAGAAACTGCGTTTGTGTTATTGTTTTCACGGCTAGCAGTGGAATTGCAAGATGATTAGTACATTGCTCCTTCCCCCGTACAGTTCCCAACCACCACAAAACCCTGGATCCAGTGGAAATGGGAAGAGGGATCAGTGAAGCTACACGCATATTTGATGGCGAATACGATGGGTTCGTGGGTGAAGGACGACGCTGGAGGTCGACCTTGGAAAGCGCCGGAGAGGACAACCATTGTAATTCCTCTCGGCGTTATGGTTTCCAAGCCATGTTAGCAGCCCTTTAAACCTTATCGATGTTGTCAGTAAGTGTTCTGCCCTAATATTACGATTTTTTGTCTCCAGAGAAGTCCGGGAGGCTGCATATGAAACAACAATGCTCACGCAGAGTAGGGCACACTTCTGGCCGCACTTGGCCGTTCTATGACGTGATCCTTCCACCAAAAGTACGCAATACTTGTGAAATTTCCTCAAAAGCAGGTTTATACATGTTTCAGCTGCATCATTCAATTTCCTACGCAGGCACCTCTGAGTTGGGAGATACTAAAATCGACAAACAAAAAAGTAACTTCCCCATTATTTTAAAGCGGTAAACTGCCCCCTCCCCAGAGCAATAATTGAGCATGCACAGCCTCTGGTTTGGACTTAAACAACTACGCTTTAATAAGACAATTTGTCTTAAAAGCTGAAAGCACATATTTTTTTGCTGCGGCGTGATAATAAGTGACTACAGTAAGGGAAGGAAATAATTCAAAACTTTTATCTCATTGTAATAAAGCACCCCGACGCTTCCCAGAAGGCAAAAGAAGACATAATTCTAGGGGTGAAATATGTATTACCGACATAGAAAAAGGCTGAAGGGCTACTGGCATGACCCAGAAGCCAAGCCGCCAGGTGAAGGCATAATGGCGGATCTCCTAAGTGATTTGTTACCGAAACCAGGGGTTAAATAAACAATTAATCTATTGCAGCAATGATTTACAGTGGACCAAAATCTTACCTATTCAGGTGAAGCTTTGCCACCTTTAACCGCCTTTGACGTCTCACATCGCACGGGTCGGCGATGAGGCGCTTTGAATTGTAAATGCTTTTTGCATTGAATCACATTTGCTTTACGTCGTCTTAGCAGCAATAAATAAAGGAAAAAAATTTAAATTAAGGAGAGGAGAGAAAGGATTTAGGACTTCCTATTTTACCTGATTACTTCTTATCAACAATGGATGAGTTGATGTAGGTTACATTAGGCATCAATGAAACAAAGTTAACGCAGTAGAGTGAACAGGACAAGTCGATGGAGGGCAGATGCAATCGTGAGTTTACCTAGATCACCTGGCTACAACAAATTGATTTTAGTCAACAAAAATAAAGTGGAATTCTATCAGTTGGTGTAGGTCAACCTGTGTCAAACTTGACAGTTGCCGGTTATGCCAGATTACCACGTATCGCAGAGTCCACGCTGTGAAGGAATCGTGACTTAAACGACACGAGACAAATTATGGATGACGGTGTTGGAAAGTAGTGCACCGTTTGGTGTGATGGAGAAAATAGCATGAGTCTTAGAGAGGATAAATACCTGAAGGCATTGGTGCAAGATGCTAAGCTGAGCAATGAAGTTTAGGCTGTATTTCTGTTAGGAGAAGTTTTTCGTTGAAATAAGCATAATTTCAAGGACCACCTTCGCTGATCAACATAAAATACCTCGACTGTAGAAGCAGGCACCGTACCTCAAGCCATTCGCATTTCGAAATTAGTCCCATTTCCTAATTACAAATTTTGCATGCATTTTTGCGGCACTATAGGCACGAAGAGGTAAGAATGACTCTTTGGAGATTGGCAACACAACAACAGGGAAGGGGGATGCAAACGAGGGCGGAAAATACGTTGGCGATAGTAATGGTGATAGTGATGAGGGGCATTATGACAAGAGAGAAGTACTATCTTCATACTCATTCTCCCATCCCTCTCCACCCATCCCAACGGCCCTCTCGCCCCCCTTTTCTCCTTCCCTCCATTCCATCTTAACACTAGCGCAATTTTCGCCACTAGTCAGTACTCTGTCTTGTGGCATATTATATTTGCAAGAGATATGAGGTAAGAAGTGTGAGATTTTGTGTTTTTCTTTCTCTTGGGAACGACAATTTGGACCTCAACTGACTGGCTGACTATTGTACTGCGCATCGTTGAGGTGCCTCTTTCAAATCAAGTGGATTGATGGATAGATCTTTGTCTTAGTTATTGACTGGACTTAAGCAATGAAATTGCAGTAAGCGGCTCCACCTGCTTTCCATCACACATAAGGGATGCATGATAAAGTAATGAAAGGATGAAATTGATACGCATTTTCGAGATCTACCATGCC